GGCCACTGCCCTCCCAGAGTGCCGAGTCAGCACAGACCAGGTGGTGACTGGCCACAGTGGTGACAGCCTGGGTCTGCAGGCGGGGCTCTGCTTGGGCACAGAGGTGGCTCTCACAAAGTGCCAGGAAAAGGCGCTCAGCAGGTCCGCCAGGGCTCCTGGGGCCTGCCACGAGGTGCCCCAGGCAGGGAGGAGGGTGTCTGCCTCCAGAGGTGCTGGCAGCTGGGAAGGGCCTGCAGAGGGCAGAGTCCACCCTGTGGGCAGCGGGTGGGCCTACAGGCAGAGAACCAAGGACGCCCATAACGGGGACGTGTCCTCTGGCAATGTGACGACCAATGAGGGCTCCCTCCAGGTGTTGGGGCTGAGGCAGAAGGCAGAGAAGGCCATGTCTCCACCGCCTGTCCCAGCGCTCCCCTGAACCCCTCCTCCCCAGCAGGACTCAGAGCCAAAGCGGTTAGGGGGTGGGGACAGATGGACCCACTGCGGGAGGCCCAGGGGCTCACCACCCACACCCCAGCTGCTCCCTCTTGGCATTACACCCAACTCCCACCTCAGAGCAACTCCAGATCCCGGCAGGAGAGGGGGCTGGGGTCCCTGGGGCCAGGCTGGTGGACTTGGTCTCCTGGGATCCTTTCTCTGGGCATGGGATGCCAGGCGCTGCAGGGGGGTCAGGGTTCAGGCCTCTGCGGGACCCCTGCCCTAGGTAAACAGGTGGCAGCCCTACACAGACAGGCCACAGGGCAGGGTGACTTCATAGACGCACCTTCACCGAGCCCCTTCTGAGTGTCTCTGCTGACTGGGGGCACCCACGTCCCCATGGCTCAGTGCTCCCCAGCCCTGCCCCGCTGCCAGGCCGTTCCCATGGACTCCCTCCAGAGCTGACCAGAGGCTGTGTGGAAGCTCTAGTGCGGTGCTCAGCTGGAGTCTGAAGTGCCTCATTGGTGGCACCTGTGACACAGGAGACCCAGGCCTGAGGGACACACTCCCCAGGGGGTGGCTGCTAGGGGCAAGCACGTGGGGATCGACTGGAGCAGCTCCCAGTGTCTGGGAAGGAAGGCTCTTGGAAAGAGCACGGTGCCAGCCTGGGGCCATCCTGGGGTTGGCCAGGACAGATAGGCCGAGGTGGAGGTCCTGAGCAGTGGGGCTGGACCCCAGGCCCAGGGAGGAGGTCCTGGCCTCCCAGGTACCTCTGACTGGATCCAGCCCCTGGCGGGTGGGCTTGTGGCGACAACTATGCTACATGCACCCAGGTCTTAGAGCACACCTAGGTTGGTGCTACTGGGGCCTTTCTGTGGCCCTGGGGAGCAGGCAGGGTGTATACAGCTGGGTGGGAACCAGGTCTCAAGTTTAGACCACGTGACGTCGTGGGGTCTCCAGCAGGGGCCTCCCATGGGAGGGAACTGCTCTTGGAAACACTGGGGCACAGTGATCCCAGGCCCCTGATCCCGTGGTGGACAGCCAGCCAGCCACCATGCAGGAACCCAGCTTGTACGGCACACCCAGGTGGGCTGAGGGCCCTGCAGGGGAGGCCAGGAGCTGCAGGGGAGGCCAGGGGTCAGCGTCTATTAGGGAAAATAAACGCACACACCTCTAGGCCATCACACAGGGCTTCTTGACTGGTAGCCACAGGCCAGCAGTTCACAGCAGGGACAGCAGCAAGGGCCACCCCAGAAGGAGTTCCCTCACTGCCTGCCCTCTCCCCAGTTCCCTCCCGCCCCGTCCTCCTGGTGCCTTTCAGAGAGGGCTCTACAGCAGCACCTGGGACATCAGGACATCACGGAACCCAGCTGGCCTGCTGCTAGGGCATGCCACGCAGGAGGCCCCAGTGTGCTTCAATCTGCCTGACCCCTACCAGGTGGCCCGTCCTCATGTGCAGACCCTGGACATGCGGCTCCACCAGTGCCCGACACTGTTACTTACTACCAGCCCGAGGCTCGAGGCAGCCTCTCCCCAACTCTCCCTGCCCCCACCGTGAGGCTGAGTGTCCCCTGAGAGTTGAGTGTGGCCAGTGGATGACAACATCCAGGAGCTGGAGGGGCCAGGCTTGCACAGTAGCCCTCAGCACAGCTGTGACCAGGCCAGCCGGGCCACTGAGGCTTCCTCCCTGGCGCTGCGACCATTCCTATGAAAGTCACCCAGGCACAGCGCCCTGCGCAGTGACTTCTGTTCTGGAATGACTTGGGAGCCACATACTCACAAGCAGGCTCTGGAGACCCGACCACTCTGGGCCACCAGGGAGTATGGGCAACACCCTGAGGACCTTCCCAAGGGCACTCCAGCCATAGGGCAGAAGGGTCAGCGGGTCGGTCTGCCTTCTGGGACACCGCCCCTGTCCCACAGGCGGCCAGGTAAGGCCAAGCTGCCTCGAGTGCTTCACAGGAGGGGGATGAGAAAGGCGTGCAGTGGGCACCCTGGCTCTCCCACGCCAGGGCATGCTGAAGGCAAGCCAGGGGCCAGCTGCAGGAGGCAGCAACCAGCTACCGTGGCCTCATCTGGGCTGGGGCCAGGATTCCCACCTGCTGGGCCGAACGCTTCCCCTCTCATTAGGGAGACATCTGAAGAGACCTAGAGAAAGCATCCAACACGGGCTTCAAGGGGAGGCCCCTGGACCCACAAGGCACACCTCGTGGTAAAGCCTTTCCCACAGCAGCAAAAGGCCTGCCAGGGCCCCAGAAGTGCACACAGCGAGATGGGCCTTGGGGGCCAGCGCAGGAGACGACAGGCCTGCTGGCCCACCACACAGGTGGGTCGCCGCACAGAAGACTCCACACAGCGTCTGCCTCGTGTTTCACAACTTTAATAGAATATTCTAACTATTCTGTACAAATTGAAAACACCGTATTCAGGTACAAATGTGTTATCAGGTAAGGCTGCGCACTCTACACGCCTGGTCACGGCTGTCCCCGGCTGCCAGAGACCAGCACCACCACATACTTGGAAACCTCACACCCGCTGCTGACTGGTCAACCAGACCCAGGGCTTTAAGACAGGATGAGTGGTGGGGTGAGAGGTGGGGTTACTCAGAAAACAACACGTGACCTCCACTGTTGCCCACTCCCCTCCAGAGGGGACGAGGACCCTGGCCCTCTGGCTGCCGCCCGTCCCAACAGCAGCACCAGATAGGTCTGTGTGTCACAGGACCAGCTCCTGCCCTCAGCAGAGCAGCAGGAAGCAGTGCTCCCACCAGCACACCCTCTGTCCAAGCCACCAGCCGGGTCTTACTATGGTAAGGATAAGTAACAGTGTGAGTTCAAAGTCCTCCAAGCATCAATGAATAAATAAATATGAGGATGGGCCCCTAAGCTCCTGCCTCAGAGGTGTGCACAACCCACCTGACCCCTAGAGACTACAACGCAAGAGAACACTCTAAGAACTGGAACGGCCGGCGCCAGGGCTGCGGCAGCTCTGAGCAGGCTTGTGGCGGCAACGGGGTGGGCTCCTCAGATCAGGGGGCCTGGGAGGCAGGCAGGCCCTCCACCCGGCTCCACCCACGGGGTCTACAGCCCCCGGGGGTCCTGGAGTGTGCTGTCTCCACGCCACCGTACAAGTTAAGCAAAACAAGGAGGGAAAGGAAAAGTCAAGGTCATGCACTTGAAAGCGCGTTAGATGTCGTGAGCACTGTCCACCTGCTGCAGCAGGACCAGGCCCGTCCTGACAGCGGCCATGGGCGCCACCCGCGCCGCGGTCTCTCACTGCTGCTTGCACTCCGCTGGCTGGCTGGGCTCTTTCTGCAAGGAGAGGAGAGAGGACTTGGAGAGGCCAAAGCCACGTGGCTCGCTCACCAAGCGCCTCCAACCCACACGGGACCAAGACCCGGGAGCTCCCCACCCGACAAGAGGGCTGCTGCACAGGGACCTCAGGATGCCGGGACACTCGGGACTAAATCCAGGGGCACTCTACCACTGAGCTGCACCCCGGCCCTCTGGGTTTCTAAGACAGGACCCAAGTCTCCCAGGCTGGCGTGGGACTTCCACCCTCCTGCCTCAGCCTCCCAGCTGCTGATGTGACAGGGGTGGCCACGGAGCCCAGCTACTTTGTCTTGGAGACATGGTGTTCTGACTCCTGCTGGATTAGACTAGAGGGTCTCCCAAGGCCACAGGTTAATTATCTGCACAGGGCTCCATGTAAGACAGGGGCCCCACCCTACTGCCCATCTAACAGGCCTCACAGCTGAGGTGCAGTCCTGGCCAAGAACCTCAGCAGGAAAGCGTCCTGCGTAGAGGGGCTGCTGTTCTCACTAGCTGGGAACAGCGTCCAAGCAATCCACACCCCAGCAGCCAAGGGTGCACCCACAGGTGATGAGGGGCTCACCACCTGTGGGTGAGCTCTCCCACGCCCAGTCTCAGCAGTGGGAAATTCTGCCCTCCTGTACAGTCACCAGGAAACGCATCCCCGCCTGAGGGGCAGGTTGACTCACTCCCAGATCACACACCTCCCAAGCCCACCCAGAACCCCAGGAACACAGCGTAGAGGTGAGTACAGCCTAAGAAATGATGATCTCACACTACTACTTCTGAGCTGGGATATTTGTCAATCTGTAACACAATTCCTGGCAGCCAAGATTTTAAAAACTTTACTCTGACAATAACTTGATAAGCCTCAATGTCTAGGAAAGGCCTGTGCCATGTGGTTCAAAGGAATGTGTGGGGAGGGCTGGTGGTCATGCCTGTAATCCCAGTAACCCCAGCCACTTGAGCTGAGGCAAGAGGATGGTAAGGTGAAAGGCCAATGTGTGCAAATAAAAAATAAAAAGGGTTGGGATACAGCTTAGTGGTAAAGTGCCCCCTGGCTCAATCTCCAATACCACCCAAACCAAACCCAATTGCTAAAAAACATCGAAGATAAGCCTATCCACTGAAGCTTGGGTTACAGTTCATGCTTTGAGAAGTCACTTAAAGGATAGAAAGTACATACTACAGATGCATAAAAGCATCAAGGAAAAACCTCAGTCCCTGGTCTAAATTGCAACCCACCCTCCAATTTTCTGCCTGGCACAATGACAGGCTGCTCTAAGAGGCAGATGACCCTTCCTAAGCCTCACCTGCCCAGCAGGCTGCCCAAGGAACCCAAGCCCAGCCTCACACCTAGGCCAAAAAGACGTAATTGAGTGCTGTCAGTCTGTCCAGGCTGAACCCAGCGATGGCCCAACACAGAAGACTGTGGGGAAGTGGGGGTGCCCTGTGTAGGTGCAGCCACATTAGGACTGGGCTAGGAAACAGAAACCAGGCTCTGGGGTGCAGGTAGGGGTACAGGTCCTGCCCAGCATGCAGAAGGCTCTGGGTTCTACCTCAGGCACTGCAAATAAAAGAAAGCCATTCAAGAGGTTCTGCAGGGAGAACTAGGGCTCTGAGCGGATGGAGTCTCCACATACCTATGCACGCGTGAATTAAACCCAGTGTCGCATAACACAGAGTACTGTGTCATTTAGCCTATGGCACAACCAGAATGTGCATCTATTGGTCTTAAAACCAAGACTGAGGCGGGAGGATTCCAAGGTTGAGGTCAGCCTGGGTAATTTAGCCAGACCCTATCTCAAAATAAAAAGGCTGGGGATGTGGCTCAGGGCTACAGTGTACATGCTTGGTGTGCGAGAGGACCTGGGTTCCATTTACTCAAAACAAAGAAAACACAAAAACCCCAATCACTTGTTTGCAGATGACAGTTCTGAGGGAGGCCAATGAGTGGGCCTCACTGGTGCTGGGCCCCCAGGTCTGAGGAGCTGCCTTCCCTCTGGGCATGAGGACAGTTGCAACCCAACCCTGCTGGACTACGGAGCCATGAAGCACCCAGCTCCTGCAGGTGGGCAGGAAGAACTCTGGGAATGGGTTTCATTAACGGACATTCGCCATGTGTACATCACACACAGGCAGAGGCTAAGTGCACCTCAACTGAGTGTCCTGCACGTCAATTTATTTTTTTGTATTTTTGGTACTGGGGATCAAACCTGGGGCCTTGCGCATACTGGGCCATAGACCAAGTGCTCCACACCTGGGCCACACCCAGCACCCGCACGTCACTACCTCTGATCAGAGCTTGCTCACTCAATGCCAACACGACTGCTCAGAAGGGAGCCAATGTTCTCAAAGGCAGTCACCTGACCAGATCCTGCCCACCATGGGACTCCTGCAGCTGGGCTTCTGGGATACCCGTCAGGCCAAGGGAGGGTAAAGCCAGGCCACTAACATAGCCGGCTACACCAAGGACAGAGGCCACAGCCAAGTGGCCACAGGCCCCTGGGGAGAATACGCTCAACACTGATGGACGACATGCACTTGGCCTGGCTCAGGGCACCAGGTCCAGGGCTCCCCTGGTAAACCAAAGTCTGCCTATGCCAATGGGCAGGGGCTCTGCTGTGACTTCTTGCTCCCGCCTTTCCTCTTCCTCAGGGGAGGGTCTGGTGCATGGCAAGGATCTCTGCCAAACCCAGTGCCACCACCCCGGTGGCCAAGGGAGCTTCCAGGTTGAACATGGGTGGAGGCAGCTCCCAATGGCTCACTTCCACCTATGACCGGTTCTGTTCTACTGCCAGCATTTGACCCGTCTCCACAGCGGTGCGGCTGGGGACAACAGGTATGTCAGGGCCATTCTGATTCTGCAAAATGCTGACCCCTGGGGCTGCCTGTTGTGGTCCCTCCTGAATAGCAGCACCACCATCACTAGCAGTGCCCCTAGGCCTCAGGGCCACTCCTTCACCAGCAGTGCCACCCAGGGCTCAGGAAGATGCCAGATTTAGCTTCTGCCTGTTGGTTTTCCAAGACCAGCCACGGGCCCTGCACAAAGCACTCCCCATGGGAAGCCCGTGCACCCTGCAGCACACCACGTATGCCAGGAGGGCGACTTTCTGTGTCCCCCAGGTCCAAGCATCACACGGCAAAGTACAGACCAGCAGTTTGGAAGTTAGGTACGAATGGATTCCACCTTACCTAGGAACGTATGAATGATTAACAGACAAAAATTACACCTAAATGGGGAAAAAAATTGAAAGGAACCGTCAGCATGAAAGAAAACGAAATGCACAAAATTATACAGGAAGAGACAGCCACGAATCTCCTAACACAGAAGGGCCGCGGAGTAATGGATGTGGGCAACTCAACGCAGCAGAGCTGTCCCTCCAGCAGGCCAGCACAGGGCCCGGTTCCAGAGCGTGGTCACCCCAACACCAGCCACACCCCCCATCCTGGCCTTGCAGACACCCTGGACAGGTGCACATGAGGGGAGACAGGGCACCATGAGCCAAGGACAGCGGACAACTCGGGAATGTGGTGGAGAGCCCATCAGCCATTAGTGCCCCAGCCACGCCCCAACCCGGGCAGCGAAACCAGGCTGCAGGGGTCAGCATGGGACTCGCTCCATGCTGACCACCTGGAGCCACCTGGTAGATGCTCCTTCAGAAACGGGCATGGGAAGAGACAGAAGGGAGGACATGACACGGGAGAAGAAACGAAGGAACAGAGCCTGCAGAACAGTGACACAAGTACCACACAGGCCACGGAACCGAGGACAGGGACTGGCAGGGGTCTCCAGTCCTGCCCTCCACCCACATCAGACCATGTGCTCACCCGGCCAATCGCACACCTGCCTCAGGCCCGCCACACACCCACAGGGCAGCCACATGTCTTGGCTCCCACAAGTGGACCCCACAAGTGGACTGCGTGCGGACGGGAGCCCATCACCCATGGCCAAGCACACTGTAGCGCAGAGCCTGTGGCCCACAGGGCAACCTTTATGGGAGGGGCGCCCCCAAGCTCGCCGGATGGTATTTGTGAAGCCTGTTTCTGAGAAGCCCTTCTCCACCCTCCTGAGGGATCCACTGTGCGCACGTGCTCCTCTCAATATCGGCCCTGCACCCTCAGCTTCGAGTGCACACTCCACCCAGGCGAACAGCACAGACAGGGAAGGACAGCTAGTCGGAGACAGGCCCCGGAAACACCAGGTGCCAGCACAGCCCACAGCCCACCCTGTGCTCAGAGGTGCCCACAGGTCAGCCCTGCACCAGTGCAGCTCTGGATGGTGGTGTGTGCCCGAGGCCCCAGGAGGACCAGGTCCAGGCAAACCAGGGGCCGCTCTCTCGCCTTCCCTTTAAATCTCCTCAGTGAACTCTGTCGTTTATTAAGGCTACCTGAGACACGTCTAGACACCTGCGCTGTCTTCTCAATACCCTCAGCCCAAGGACAGCTAGGTGATGTCCTCGCGTCCACTGTTCTGCCTCTGAGCCACAGCAGCCCTCAGAGCCCCCTCCTCACATCTCTCCCCACCACACCCAAGCGGGCCAAGTGGTTAGTTTAATCATCCCCGAGAGGTGAGATCTGGAGTTAAAGGTGCGCAGCTGATGGACTCTGCAGGTGAGACACGGCTGCAGGAAGGCCTGAGGCTCTCTCCTGAACACCTGTACTAAACCTGTCACCAAGGGTCCACACAGCTCCTCATCCCAGTGTTTTCCTGACACATTTTAAGTGTTCTCAGTAGAAAATCACACACACAACTACATGCACCGCCACTGCCCCAAAGTGGGGAGCATCGGTCCAAGTCCAGCAGTGCAGCACTGCCCAGGTCAGGAGCCTCAGGATGACTGACCTTGGGGGTAACTTCGGCATCATCCTCATCTTCTCCCTCCTCGTCACCTTCCAATTCCTGTGTGAAAAGGAGTGAGTCAGCCAGGAGAGTCAACTGCAGGCTGGACTTCCCAGAGTCCACTATGCAGAAGAAACCCTGTTTCAGAAGGAGGGTGTGGGTGGCACTGCCCACCAGGGCTGCTCTCCTCCCCTGGAGGCAAGCCGTTTGGGGTGTCTCCTCCTCAGATAACCCAGCAAGGCACACGCTTCTTTACAGGGAGGTGACAGCCCTTCAGGAACTTCTCTAAGGCACATCTTCACAAGCCAACTGCTGGTCAAAGGTACCCCATGGGGAGAGGGCACCATGTGGCCTGCAACTCACACCGTGAGGGAAGGATGACATTTCCTGCCTGGGTTCCTTACCTCCTCCTCTCCTTCCTCGCCTTCTTCAAACTGGAGGGGGAGAAAATGAAAAAGCCTTTTCAGGTGTGGAAAACCATGGTCACGCTGCCCTAGACGCCAGCCCCCACCAAGCACCCCCACCAGTCTGGTCTGGAGAGCAGACGCCCAGCTGCTGTGCGGTGCTGGCCCCCCAGCAACTTGGAGGCAGGTGTGCGGCTGCCTGGGTTCTGGGACGCGCACCGCCTGCTTGGAGGGGGCCAGGTGCTCATGAGATCTGCATTTTCCTAGGATGTGGGAAACCTAAATTCACTCAAAGACCAGAGGTAAGGATGGGGAGGGCTACCAAGGGAGCTGCCAGCAAGCGCCTGCTGGACCCAGGGCCCACTGTGGTCTTCATGCTGAAGCAGGGCTGCCAGGAACAGGTGTCTGCAGGGCGATGAGTTAAATGACTGCTAGCATAATTCTATCACATGCAGGCACTTTGGTACCATTTCATACCTCACGCAAGGGGCAAAGTGGCCTTGATCCAAAAGCAGTGCAATAAGCCCTGGTGTTCCACCCTACAGTCAGCCGGAGGAGGACCTCCGCTTACAGCCAGCTGTCCTGGTCGACACGGCCTCCACCCAACGCACGGCTGGTCAGACTCAGATTCAAGCTCCACACGAGACAGAGGCAAAGGTGAATGCAACCCCATGGGTGCGGGCTGCAGAGCCTCGGCTCCTGGCATGGGCCAGACTTCCGGGGCACAGACATCCCTCGGGCACTGCACAGCAACTGAGGAAACTGGCTACAGAGAGACGTGTTTCCTCCTCTTTCCTGAGTGGCAGTGGGTGACTTGCACCTTGCACTTTAGAAAGCCACACATGAAGAACTTCATGCACCAAGTCCCCAAGATCCAAGCACCAGCCTCTCAGGCTTAGGGAACCTACCCAGCGGAGGCTCTGGTGTGGGCCTGAGGCCTATCGAACCAAGCATACCACTGCCCTTCCTCCCGCACTGAACATCCACAAGGCACTTCTTACACCAGCACCTGCTAAAACCCAAATGCCTGGCACAAGGGGCGTCACTGCCATCAGCTCCTTTTATAGAGGAGGACACTAAGGTACAGGCACACCATGACTAAGAGGAGGAAAAGGACTCATCTAAGGAGCTGGGCAGGAGCTGGTCCTTCTAAGCTCAGCAGAAGCAAACACCGCCCATAGGGCTTTTCAAATCCATGGGTTCACGATTAAGAGCCGAAGACCTGACTTGCAGTGAGCTTTCCAACGTGCACTACCCTTACCCTTACACTAACTAAACACTACTGCCTTGGTCACAAGAGTCATTTTCAAGGCATCAAAACAATGGCCCCTGAGGTCAGTCCAGCCACACTGAATAGAGCAGGCACATTTCCATGTTAAAGGAAAACGCTACTGGAAAGTGCTAGTCAAGAATCCAAGTGACCACCAGGAGCTAAGACCTACATTTCTGCAGCTGCTTTGGGCCTTAGGAACCCAACACTGAGCTGAGTGTCCATGTGTCCTCACACTGACCACCTTCATCCTTGGCCGGGCAGCTGTATTTTACAAGTCAAACATGATTCTAAGACCGCCCTCCCAACACACAAGACTGGCCCGTCCTCCTGCCACTGCCAGAGGACCCTCAGTACACAGGGAAGTGGGAAGTGGGCCAGGCCCCTGGATCCTCACTGAGCTCCTGCCCCTATAGGAAGCCTCATCAACCTCGGGAGGGAGGGAGCCTGAGCTCTGCAGGCAGATAGCAGAGGCTGCACAGCCAATCACACCCAGCAACTGAGACCACTAGGAGCAACCCGAGCCTCGGCCACCACTGATGGCTTCAAGCAAAGCACAGGGCCTGCCTGTGGGAGCAGAGGTCTCTGTTTGACTGTCCTGCCCCAGCTAGAATGGGTCCACTGCCAAGGCCAGACCTCCCTGAGGCGGCCTTCCACAGGGCACAGTGGGGAGAGTCAGCAAGCAGGCTAACCAGGTGATGGGGGTCAACAGCCTCAGAAACCTGCTTTCCTTGCAGCTCCTTCTAGGAGCCCCCTTCTCCTGTTTCCCAGACATAGGAGACCAATGGGCCCATGCCACTGTCCAGGTGCCATGCAAATCTGAGGCTCGCAGGCCTTCCCTGCATGCACATCCCCAGAGCCTAGATACCCAAGACAGCCCACCCCACCTGTCCCCAGCCACACACATTGTCGTCATCCTCGATAGCCTCCCCAGTGAAGTAAAGCACAGCCCGAGGCACAATCCGCTCACGGAAGAAGTGTCCAATCTCAAAATCTGAGGCTAACGTGAACTCAGAATCTTCATCCTGAGAGGGAAAAGCCAACACGTTAGCTCATTTCAGTGGGATAAACACTCCACCCCCCTCCCTTTTGGTTTATTGGACTTCAAACACCAAATTTCTGCACTTCTGGGTGATGGCTACCACATACAAAAGCCACTCAAAATGAGCTTAGGCATTTCCAAAGTGGGCCTATGGCTCTTTTCCTGCCCAATGGTTTCAGAGTAGAGGGTATCAGAGCCCCAGGGGGAATGGGCTGGACAGAAGGACAATGTCTATTCCTGAAGCCAAGGTGGAGAGCCACCCCCAGGTGCGAGAACTTCACATGAACCCCAGGGCCTATGGGAGCGGGAATGGATTAGAAAGGGCAGGCAGTCCCCCAGGAAATAAAGACTTCTGACAACACACATCTTACCAGTGATTCTCCATCACCCGAGGCTAGAAAAAGAAAAGGCAAAACAAGTCTGAGTTACACTGACAACCAAGTCTTAAACCCAGAGGAGAAAGCTCGATCGACCGGCACAGAACAGACAGTTGGCAGCCGAGGGAGCCTTGGCCATCTCACCCACTTGTGACGCTGCCCCAGGCCCGTCTGCTCTGCCCAGTCATGGGCTGCTGCCCAAACTTCTGCAGAAAAGGCCAAGGTTCAGAAAAGCAGGGCAGAGTCTAAAGGTCACTAGGAGGAAAGCCTATGAGGGTTCAGACAGGCCACTTGGTGCATTTATGCCACAAAGGGATTTAACTTGTGCCCTGCAGAACTCTATGTGCTGCTAGGTACAACGGCCATGCTGCTGTCCCAGCAACTTGGGAGACCACATCACAAGGACGGTGAGTTCCAAGTCAGCCTAGGCAACTTACTGAAACCCTGTCTCAAAGTAAAAAAAGAATGGGAGATATAGCTCAGTAGTCAAGTACCCAGGGTAGAATCCCTAGCTCAGTAGTCAAGTGCCGGAGGCGGAATCTCTAGTACCAAGAAAAAGAAAAAAAAAAAGAAAAAACAAAAACAAACAAACAAAAAAAACCAGGGGCTGGGGATGTGGCTCAAGTGGCAGCGCGCTCGCCTGGCATGCGTGTGGCCCGGGTTCCATCCTCAGCACCACATACCAATAAAGATGTTGTGTCCGCCGAGAACTAAAAAATAAATATTAAAAAATTCTCTCTCTCTCTCCTCCCTCTCTCTCTCTTTAATAAAAAAAACAAAACAAAACAAAAAAACCCACAAAAAAGTGAAGTTGGTGGTGATGCAGAACCAACCCTCGCACCATGTGCATGACATGCTATGTGCCAATGAGGAGCCAGCACCAGCTTGTGTCTGACGTGGAGGCAGGAGGGAAGAGTGTGCTAAGGAAAGGGGCCTGATGATGAGAGGTCAAGAGGGGTCCTGCAGAGCGACCTCTGTCTCCCCAGGGGTGCCCAGGAAGCAGCAGAGGAACAGCAGTGGAGCAGGTGCCCCTTTGGCTTCCCTGAAGTGCAGCTATAGGTTCCTGGCTGGGACTAGCTAGGCAGATATAAGAAAAGGCCTGTTATTCCCCTGCGGCTGACACTCCTACTCCACCGCCCCAGACCCTGCCTCTCGCCTGGGCACCAGCGCAACTCGGGGTGCGGCCGCCATTCCCTGCAGAGACAGTTGGGAATACTCCGCGTCACACAGCCACACAACACGGTGTGCAGGACAGAGCCAGCAGCCCTGCCAACAGACCTTTCAGAGGATTGAAGAAGTTGAAAAATGACTCATTGGGGACTTGCTTAGTGATGGTCCTGACAGTGCCCCGTCCCTTATGTTTCTGCTTCTTCTTGATGGTCTTGACAGTGACGTTTCTTCCTTTCTTCCAGTCAATGGTGCACCTGTAGGGGAGATGGCCATTGAGTGGTGCCACTCAGGAGAGCCCACATGGGCTCCAGGGCTGGAACCCTGCTGCTGCTTCGACTTCAGAAAGCAGGAGGGCACCCATGCCCCAGGCGTCCCACACGGAGCGTGAAAGTGTGTTTTCTGTGTCGAGGCCTCCTCAGGTCTGCACGACAGCAGGACCCTGCCTGCCAACTGCTACCCAAGCCCAGAGCACATGTGGAGTCACACTCATATACCTGCACTCAAAGTCCTAAGTCAACCAACAGGGACCACTGTGACAGGTGACAACCAGTGAGGAACGCAGGGCCTGGGATGTGCCCACCTTTGCCTCTCTGTCATCTTGGACACACATGGCCCTAATAGCAGCTGGGTGTCATCTATGCAAGAGCACACCTGGGAAGGCCAGGCCCTTCCGCATGAGGGCCTTGCCCTGTGACCATCTTTCCTCATCACCCAGTCCTTCAAGCCTAGTGGTATTTTAATAAAGAGTTCCAAACTACTTACACAGAGAGATTTTCAACAATAAATATTTGCTTCTAATGCATTAGCATGTTAATTCAAAATAGAACAATTTCCTAAGTCAGAGTCTGTCCTTGGTGGTCTACAGAGATGAAAATCACCCAAGCAAACAGCAGATACGCTGCCAATTTCAAAAAAGACCACTAGAGCAATACTGATCCGCACTGACTTATTCATTCGACAAAACACTCATATGCAGTTTGTTTTGTTCTGTTTTTTTTTTTTGGTGATTCTGAAGAATGAACCACCCACCACGCCTAGCTAAACTGAAGCACACATTTCTAAATGGCAGCTGCTAGGGAGGCTGATGCAGGAGGACTGCAAGGTTGGGGCCTTGGTAACCTAGTGAGACTCTGTTTCAAAATAAGATATAGAAAAGGCTGGGGTGTAGCTCAGTGGTAGAGCGCCCTGAGGTCAACCCCTGTACCTGCCCTTTCCAAACAAGTTTAAGTGGTGGTGTCCAGGGAACCCAACCCTCTGCGTTCAGATGGCACAAAACCCTGAGACCCATTTCCCACCGCACCCCCCTCTGCATCTGCACACACTCACAACCCTGTGCGTTTAAGCAAGTACGAGACTTTGCACATCATTCCTACTACCTTTTTGCCATAACATTCCAAAACTACCTTCTGCTTTTGTATCAAGGAAAGTCAGGAACGCCTCTTCTTACCCATCGCAGTCCACTATTTCAGGACCTTCAAAGGAGAAGGGATCGGCCTTGTCGGGCTCTGACTTCATCTTGTACGTTTTCGTCAGGACTTGGTTGGTGAAGTAGTCATTGGGCTCAAAGTGGAACTCTAACACAAAAGACTGAAGCAGAAACTCAGAGTTAGCACCATGAAAAGTCTACCCACCGGCAACAGGGCTCTGGTCTGTGGGCTGGCAGAGAAAGCGGGCAGCAACCATGCTGCTCCGCTGACAGAAGACAGCACCAAGATGCAGGAGGACAGAGCAGGCCCTCCACTCGGGAAGCCCTGGCAGACGTGGCGGAAACGGGCACCCTGAATAGCAAGTAGAGGTGTGCACGGAGACAGGTGTGGGTGAGGCCAAGCCAGCCAAAGGAAAAGCTCACCCACAAGCCACACAGCTGAAAAACAGAGATGCCCTTCTCTGGGGGTAAACGGTACAAAAAAACACCGCAGGGTAGACGGACTTTCCGGGACACTGGGCTTACTCCTAGGATGTGCACAGGCTCAGGAGGGACATGGGGCAGGATCCAGATGTTAAGTAAAAAGCCCATTCCCTGACCCTAATCCAAGATTTCCAGGAATTCTTTTTTTTTTGTCTTTTTTGGAACTGGGGGTCGAACCCAGGGCTTTGCGAATGCAAGGCAGACGCTTTGCCACTGAGCTACATCCCAGCCCGATTTCCAGGAATTCTGTCTTGCTTGAGGCAACCATCTGGCTGGACACAGTGACATGTGACACCACAGCAATCAGAACAGAGCCTAGTCCTGGCCAAGCTGCTGGACCTAAGTACTTCCGCTCACCGGGACGTGAGGGCAAAGCAGTCAGTGGGAGAGAAGACGGGAAGCCGTGGCAGGCACTGCAGCCCCCGAGGAAACACACCCTCCTGACCAGAAGAGCTCAAAATAAACCCCATGGTGAGGGTGGGCAATGCAAAGTGGGCTGGGGGGCTGTCCAGCACACACCACGAACGCCCTGGGTGCCACTCCCAGCACAGTAAGACAGGGCAGCTAGCAAGCACCAAGCAGTGGTCAGGGAGGCTGCTTCAGATGCCAGCACACTGCTGCTTCTGGTCCCAGCCACCGGCACTTCTGCACAGGTGGAACCGTGTTCCCTCTCCTCCTCACTTCCTTTTGTCACTTCTCCATATCACGTTTCTTCCTACTTTCTAATTTTTCTAACCCCGCTGCCCTTGCTTAATCAAGAGAGAAGAGACCTAAGGTTGGACTGCCCTGCCGACCTGCCACAACCTGGCATGCCACCCACCCCAACCCGCCAGCCTCACCCCAACAAAAGAACGTAACCAAAATCAGACCACTTCCCCCAGCAGGGAGAGAGGCAGCTGGTGGCCACTCTTCCACCTCCTCACACCAAGGAGCTGCGAGTGAGTCGTGGCTGGCACACCTGGGGAAGGTCACACAGAGCCGATGGCCAGAGCCACACAAGCTCCCCAGCCAGGAGTGACCTGCGCCTCTGCACAGGTGGCCCCCTTGGAGTCAGGCGGTTTTGCCTTCTTGGATCTGCACAGGACTTCTAAAGGAAAGGCGGTGGGGAAACGCAGAGCTGAGGACAGCTGCTGAGAAGGGGACACTCTGCTTTCTACGGTCTCCCTAAGAAGCACATCTGGCTTTTATAACAAGGGAGACAAGAGGGAAAGAGGAGGTGACAAGCCTACACCAAGGCTCTAGTCTAAGAGCCATGTGAGGTGGAAGACAAGAAGATGCTGAGAAAGGAAGAGGGACCCCGGCAACCACCAAGCAAGTGTCCACTGAGAAAAAGGGGCTGCCCCAGAGGGAAAATGTCAACTTCATCTGGAAGATCTATGGGCAAGAGAGAAGAGCAAGAAAACAGGGCTGGGGATGTGGCTCAAGCGGTAGCGCGCTCGCCTGGCATGCGTGCGGCCCGGGTTCGATCCTCAGCACCACATACAAAGATTTAGTGTCTGCCGAAAACTAAAAAATAAATATTAAAAATTCTCTTTAAAAAAAAAAAAAAGAGCAAGAAAACAGAACCTCAGAATTGCAGGCGCCTTGGACACCAGACTGGGAGAAGTCATAGAAGGCCAAGCAGGCCACAGAACCAGTCCCAGGTCCCAGGCTCCGAAGATCCCTAACCCACAGCCCCTCCTAAAACACTGTCTCCAAGACCTGAAACTGAAAGCCACTGGTCAGTCAGTCATGTGTTGCTGGAGATGCTGTGGCACTGGAATGGAACCCGCCAGCCACAGCCAGGCTGAAGGGTTACGAACAGTGCAACCTGGAGGGCCAGGGGACGGCCGAGGGCAGGCCCACTCCCACTGACACTCCTGTGGGATGGTCATTCTAGAAAGATGTCTTGTGACACCAGAGTAGGAAAGCATTCTTCAGTCGCATCTGCCATTACATTTAAGCCTGAACCCTGACAGGTCCCTCCTCAGTACCTGGGACCTCCGCACAAGTGCTCCTCTTGGTGCACACACCTCCCATCCTTTCCCTTTTGAGATGAGGCCTCCTTATGTTGCGCAGGCTGGTCTTGAACCTGTGTGCCCTAGGGGTCCTTCTACCACAGGTTTCTGAGGAGCTGTGTGTCACAATGCCCAGGGCAGGACGTGGCCCATGCCATGCTGCCACTCACTCAACTCCAGTGCTCAGTGAGGCACAGAGGGCACAGGCTATGAAGCCTGACCCTGGGGAACATCCCTCTCAGGGCTGCCTGGCAACAGGTGACAGGGTCTGGACCTCCAGCTCCCAACTTCAGGCCCCACAGCCAACCGAAATGCAGCAGCTTGTACTCACCATAGGCTGGCCAGGGTCAGAAAACTTCACTTTAATATCCTGCAGGTGTTTCAAGATTGGTTCATCATATTCCTAAGGAAAAACAGGGAAAAAATTCCAATCCGCTTTTAAACCAAGGTGTACAGGGTAGGGCAGTGGGCATGCCCGAGGGTGGCTGGCCACCTGGATCCTGCCCCAGGACCCACCTCCAGCGGCTGGCCCCACCTGTTTCCCAACAGTGATGGCAACAACATATGCCAAGAACCATGTGCCATCTATCTCTGGCTGGCAAAACAGTGACCATCAATGCTGGCTGTAAGACTACCTCTGGTACCTGCCTGCTCTCCTGTGCCACCTGCCACCACACACAGAGAAATAGTGCCACCAACCCACACTGGTAGCCACTTTCCCATCTGTGGCAGTAAAGATCCCAAATCCACAGCACAAAGTGTGCCCACTGTCCAACCTGCAAGAACTTAGAACTCATGTGACTGTGCACTTTTTACAAGTGACCGTCATCTCACCTCAGAGCTCACCTAACCCATCATTTTATGAGTCCATGAAAAAAGCAAACTACGGCCATGGCCAGCTGCAATGCTCACGCGTGTGTCAAGGGGTGTGCGCCACCAGAGCCACTTCACCCTGAAGCCCATGGGCCCAGAGCCTGCAGGTTCCACTGACATTTAGGAAGTCAATCTGGTAACTGCCGACTTCCCAACTTTAAGTTCTGGTGATAGCACAGAAAAGATGCCGGCAAAAGCCAGCCACAGTAATAAGAAACCCAGCAGGTCTCTAAACCCACTCTGCTCACGCGATTCGGAAAGGAAGGCCGTTCCTCAGGGCCAGAGTAGACAGCACTGGGCTTGCTGTGCAACTGCCATGTGAACAGCCCCAGCTCCACCACGGCACGAGCACTGCTGTCCCCAACCCAAACACTTGAGCTATGCTCTCCCCCTCAGCCACCAGGCACCCGTGAGCAGGGAACCCGAGAGGCCCAGGGCCTAGCTGTAGCACTCGATCCTAGAGATGCCCCAGCACAGAATTAAAGGACACCAGGCAGCCCCACCCAGAGATTTCAAGAGAATCAAGAGGAACAGGACAAGTGACCTCCCTCTCCACACAGGAAGTAAGAACTGCCTCCTTCCCTGCGCAGCAGACACCTGCCGCTGCAGCGTAATTGCCCTAACACCACGTGACGCTGCCACACACACAGGATGGCGGCCAGATCTCCCACCACCTGTCAGAGCCTCACCTCGCTGTGCCTGGCCAAGCGCGCAGGCCCCACCCTGACCAGACCCACAACCCGCCTTTCCTCCTTCTGCTCCCCTGATGTGGTGCTCTTCCCTTTGGTAATGGGGGTCACATCCGGGGGTGCTTTACCACCCAGCCACATCCCAGCCCTTTTTAGTTTATTTCAAGACAGGGTTTCGCACAATCGCTCAGTCTGAATGGAACTGGTGATTGTCCTGCCTCAGCCTCCCGAGGTGGGACTGCACTCCCCCTGCTGTCAGTTTTTTTAAGTTGGTGGTGGATCTTTGGTTTTATTTTCTTATTTGCATGTGGTGCTGAGAATTGAACCCAGGGCCTCACATGTGCTATAAGCAAGTGCTCTACCACCGAGCCACAGCCCCAGCCCGTCAATGGGGTTTTTATAATCCTTAGAATACATTAGCTTCTTATACCACCAGGGCTGGGGTGTGGCTCAGTGGCAAAACGCGAGGCCCTGAGTTCCATCCCCAGGACCACAAAACAACCAGCACAAATTAAAAGCACCAAGAAAGTCACCTCACTGATTTGGGGACAGCATGAGAGGCATTAATGATGCTATAAGTAGTTCCAAAAGTTGCCAGATGAGTCAAACATTGGTAAAAATACAGCTGGTAGAGATTGCATCTTTCCAAACCCTGTCCCGAAGAGCAGGCTTTACAAAGTATGGTCCAGTTTTCGTTAATCTCATCTTTTCATACCAAAAGGAAGCTTGGATCAGGAAAACCAAGGCTCTTCTACTTCAGATGCCTCCCAGGCCTGGATGAGAAAGCAGCTGCTCTTCCCACCCTTTCCCAGGTGTGGCGTGAGTGAAGGCAAGCCAGGCAGGACCATCACAAGGCAGGCAGTAAAAACTGCAACAAGGGACCCTCAAAGTCACCACTCAGGATCACAAAACTCCGGGCAGGGCACAAGGTGGCTGTGCCCTGGCAGAAGTACTAGCCCTGTGGGTCGAGCTGTGCCATCCTGGATGTCTGTGTGCAGTTTCTGTGACCGTGCAGCAGGTCAGTCAATGAGGCTAGGGCAGAACTCTGTGATTCACTTCCAGGAAAGTCACACACCACTTCTCTGGTTACAGGAAGGTGGGTGAGTGGGACACAGAAAGGCTGGCTACTCCTTTTTGTTAAAAAGAGACTTTTCAATGGCAATGGTCAGAACATACCAGCAGCTTGTTTTGCACGTATGCAGCGAGGGGCACAAGGCCCTTCCAACAGCACCCCGAGGAGGAGACGCGCAGACACTCAAAGCCCTCCTCCAGCTGGCTGACCCGCCCGCTAGGGTCCTGTCCTCAGCTGCTGCTGCTCACAGCCCATGAGCAGCCCCCACCCGTGAACAGGCTCTGAGGGTGACGCGTGGCCCCAGGAGGGGGAGCGACCCACACAGGGTGAGACTCCGCCTGCACTGCCAGCCTTGCCCCCAGAGCTTCGGGGCTGCTACCCAAATGCCTGCCCAGGGAAAGCACCTCCCAGCCACCAGGCAGCAGCGGCTCACCTGCACCAGCTCACTGAGCATGTCCACGTTTCTGAAGATGGTGAACCAGAACTCCGGGATTCCTCTGGGATTTGGCTCTTCTGCTGCTGGTTTCTCGGCTATAACTACTTTGTTTTTCATGTCTCCCTAAACCATAAAGATGCAAAACAGAATAGTTGTCACAAAAACAAATTAGTAATTGGCCTGAAGGCTTAGTGGAGCCAAACTTTAGTACTGCACAAGCTTCTACTTGAAACTTATTCCTTCCGACTTGATGTCTCCACACCATGGAAGGAAAAAAAAATCACTCAAGCCACTATATCCAGAAGCACCCATGACACAATGTCACAGTGGGGGGAAAAGCCAGAGGTGGCAAATACCAGCAGACTGAACCCACATCTATTTAAAATGGGGTGCAAGGCAGGGAGTTGAAGTAAGAAAAACAAACCTTTGCTGCATGCAGCAGTATCTTTAGCACAGAGAAATTGCACAGCTACACATGTGGATAAGCAAGTACTGGGCAAACATGGGGTGGTGACCAGAGGCACCTGGCAGCGTGGATGGGGGTCGTGGAACAACATGGCCCCAGGGAAAAGGAACATGGAGGGAGGTTCCTGGTCACAGGACTGGCTGGCTCAGAACAGCCTCGCAGGGCTTCCCAGCTGGCAAAGGCAGGGTGTCCTGGGTTCTAAGGAATGGACTCTCACCCACAGTCAGAGTTCTAACCAGGCCAGGCCCTGCCCATTTCCAAAAGACCAAACTATAGATGGCTACCAAAACTGACACACATTTTAAAAAAGCATAATGCTATAAGATAAACCTACTTGCGTTGTGAGTGTGAAATCAGGCTGATGTGCATGGGGTGTGGCCCAGGGGCAGGGCGACTGCCTAACAGGTCGAGTCTGGGTCCCACCCCCGGCACCACAAAAGGAAAACACTGTCATGTTGCGCTGCACTTGGCGGTGGGTATTCCACGAGGTCTCCCCCCACGCTCTCAGCTTTCCAGTGACTAGGGACACAGGTGTGTGGCACCCCTGCTGACCCCCGCTTTCTCTGGACCATGACCTTCACTGGAGTGTGACTGTTCCTGGCTCACCCAATCCTTTATTCCAACACAGTGCCTCAGAGACACCGAAAGGAGCTGTGCCTCGCTCGCCACAGGGACCCAAGTGCCCAACCTGAGGGGGAAGAAGCACCTGTTGCTAGGAGCGCTTTTCTCTGGAAAAAGCTTTACTGATGATTTAAAAACCACCAAATCAGGGGCTGGGGTTGTGGCTCAGAGGTAGAGTGCTCGCCTAGTATGCATGAGGCACTGGGTTCAATCCTTAGCACCACATTAAAAAAAAAAAAAAAATAAAGATATTTGTCCCCCTATAACTAAAAAAAAAAAAAAAAAGCCCATGGGCATGTTGTTGTTTCTTACAGAACACATAGTCCACCCACTCATTTTTCCCCAAAACCTTACAGCCAACTTGTCGTCCTCTTCATTTTCACTGTGCCACTCTGACTCTGCGTCTGTCGGCTCCACATCACCAGTGATGAATTCTCTCCTCTGTGTGAAGACAAAATCCCTTAGAACCCGAGGCGACTCGGAAACTCCAGAGCCAGAAGAATGTCTGCACCATGTCTCCCAGACAAGGGTCCCCACGCCCCAGGCAGAGGCCACCCCCCACCCCCAGCGCTGCCCACCTTGTCAAACAGAGGCTGATACAGGGCTGCGTACTTCCTCTCCAGGTCGTGCACCTCCTCGTAGAACTTGGCCTCTATGTGTGCACACCTCACCTGGAGCTGCTTCAGCGCGTTGATTCTCCTCTTGACGGCCCTGGGCAAGCTAGGAGAGGGAGTGGGGAGCCTCCTCAGCCTCAGCACAGCAACCTCGTACCCCCTGCTACCGACAAGAGCTCCCAAAGCCATTAAGAGAAGCACACAATGGCCAAGAGAGAAGAAGCGGAAAAGATAATTCACAAAAGAAAACTGTCCCACAGGAAGGTTCGACCTCATGAAAAAACCCCAAACACGTACCATCTGGAAGCAGTTTTCCTTAGCAAAATTAGTGGTTAACACAACACCACCCTTAGGTTTGAGGAGGCCAAGGGCACGAAAGCCTGCAGACTCATCTTTCTTAGGGGCTGATGGGAACTCTGGACATGTTCACCGATGCAATAATCATACCACTAAGAACTCATCCTAAGGAAATAACCAGATATTCACCCAGGGCAGTGCAGGGAACATCACTATTGTGACAACTAACAAACTGGGCATGGTGGTGCACACCTTTAATCCCAGCTACCCCCGGGGCTGAGCCAGGAGGACTGAAAGTTTGAGGTCAGCCCTCGCAATGTAGCGAGGCCCTTAACAACTCAGTGAGACCCTCAGTGAGTCTCAAAATAAAAAGAGCCAGGTATGGTGGCACACGCCTGTAATCCCAGAGGCTTGGGAGGAAATAACCAAAGATAGGAGGATCATGAGTTCAAAGTCAGACTCAGCAATGGCGAGGTGCTAAGCTACTCAGTGAGACCCTATATCTAAATAAATAAAATACAAAACAGGGCCGGGGATGTGGCTCAGTGGTAGAGCCCCTGGGCCAGCCGCATGAAAGACTTCTAAACAAAACCCCAAACAAACAGAAAATTGGCACAAGAGGACCTGATCAGGACTCAGAATGGCTTAGGTCATGCTGTCCAGAACTATCTGGTACCACATGCAGGTCCTTGTGAACTCACCAACAGGGCAAGCTCTTCTTTCAACCGGATTAACTAAGAATTTTAATATTTATTTTTTTAGTTTTAGGTGGATATAATCTTTATATTTACATGATGCTGAAGATTGAACCCAGTGCCTCATGCATTCGAGGTGAGCGCTCTACCTCTGAGCCCAAGCCCCAGCCCTAAGGAAGAGCTTTTTGCCTGTTTTGTTCTAGGTCCTTTTTTGTTGCTGTTGTTTGCTTGTTTTACGTCTGTATGAAGCAGCCCTATAAATTAATATAAGCTTTTTATGAACCCAGGACAATGATTTATTTAAAGTAAAGTGCTTAGTCACGACCGAGAGGAACAGAGTGGTTCCCGAACCCGGTCTTCCAGTGTCAGATAGCCCTGGAGGGAGCACATTCGCATCCTCATGCACCAGGCCAGTGTGGAACCAATTCTGTGCCCAGAGAACCTTGTCCCCAGGCCTGCAACTCCTGTCAGAGAATGAAAGACACCTGCTTGCTCAGTTTCCACAGTCAGAGAGCTGGACGGCATACCCACTCAGGTCTATCTCCACCCTGGGAAAACCTTGACCACTACACACGAGGCTCTTGGTTCAATACCCTATCAAAAACCAAGCCAGATCAACCAAACCAAAGCAAGCCTTACCCACCAAGTAATCCCTAGAGAACCCACCAAATGGACAAAGCAAACCCCAGTGTCCCCTCCTTACAGCCCTGGGGGCATCAATGAGCCCTAAGTAGGAGCTGATATACAGAATGGGACATCCTGTGAGGTCAAACCCTGGCCTGATGGGAGGCTTCTTATCACTCACACTGTGCAACACAAGCAGCCACAGGCTTGGTGGGGGAAGCCAGACAACATTCTGCTGCCAGTGATGGTTGAAGTTCTCCACACCGCCACAGGGTGGCACTGCGCACTTCCTAGCTGACAACTCCACCTGCACCCATGAGTGTCCAACCACAGGGCAGGACACCCATCTTTGGACCTGGCTCTTCTAGGCAAGGTTTGCACTCTTATCCTCATTCTGGGGCAGTGGAAAAGGTCTCTTCAACTCCATCCTGTAGCATACTTACGTTTCGATGTAGCTGGAAGGAGTGTGAGAGACGCTATCAAGTCGCTCCTGCAGAGCTGCCAGGACTTGTGGGTTCTGCATCACCTGATCTGTGAGCTTTTCTATCAAGAGTCAGAAAAAAGACCAAAAGTATTTAAAACACACCCACACAGAACAGCCAAGGACAGAAATCTCCTACGCAGATTGACTTAGTTTTGTGAAGCCACTAACTTCTAAACATAGCAAGTGACTTCCTAAAAACACATTCTGAAAAGTCAGACTTTTCCTTGGCAGTGCTAGGGCCTTGCTCATGCCAGGTAGATGCTCTACTACTCAGCTGCACCCAACTCGTTTCGTTTTAAGACGGGGTCTTGCTAAGTTGCTCAGGCTGACCCCAAATTTGTGATCCTCCTGCCTCAGACTCTAGAATTGCTGGGATTACGAATGTACCACTATGCCCAGCTAGTTAAGCTTTATTTTAGGAGCACACAATATTCTTTGTGTGGCCAGGGATGCCCTGAGGTGTCTGATTCTTTGCTGTAGATATGCTGCACCCTCACGATTGTCAAGCTCAGTCTATCTCTGGCTACCTGGCAGCCTCCCCAAGTCCCACAGTGGTGTCCAAAAGCCAAGACCAGGGATATGACACAAATAAAACAGGACCCATCCACGTGTGCTCTGCTCACCTAGCTGAGGAAAGGAGTGTGACCTGTGTCTAGGCAGTGTGCCTGCCAGCATCCTCTGCCCTGCTGCTCCCCCGCCCCAGGCCCTTATGCTCTCACCCCTACCCTCCACAGAACACTCACTGCTCACCACCCTGCTCCCTGACATCTCCCACAGTCCCACACTGCACCACTGGTATTCACAAGCCCAAATTCCCAGAATAAAACGACACCCACAGGGTGGAAATTGTCCTTCACTCAGCTCTGACCACAGAGTGGGATTAATACCGGGCTCATGGCATCAGACTGCAGGACTTGGTGAATAATTTCCCTCTTAAAACAATAAAATAATCCCTCCTGTACTTGAGGAGGTATACACTTGGGAGCACTCATGCTGATATACATGAAACATATATCATGGAACACGGGCAAGTCAAACACACCAACTACTCTATTTAAATATTTAGTTGTTATCGTTGTTATCAAGAGGCAAAAACCCAGGGACACTTAACCACTGAGCCACATCCCCAGCCCTCTTTGTTTTTTACTTTGAGACAGGGCCTTACTAAATTGCTTAGGGTCTTCCTATGTTTCTGAGGCTGACCTCAAACTCGTTTCAGCCTTCCAAGCTGCCGGGATTACAGGTGTGTCACCACTCAATTTTAATGCAATTTTGCATACAGAAAACTGCACATACATGCATAATCTGTCAAACACTGCACACATATAAAAACACATCTCCTGGGGCTGGGGTTGTGGCTCAGTGATAGAGCGTTTGCCTAGCATGTGCGAGGCCCTGGGTTTGATCCACAGCACTACATATAAATAAATAACATACAGGTACTGTGTCCAACTACAACTAAAAAAGTATTAAAACAACAACAACAACACATCTCTAGATGTGTCATCTGAAATGGACTAGAAACGACTCTGAATATATATTTTCTGGTTTCTAGGTTATCTTTCCCCACTAAAAAAAACTGGGCTCCTTGGATAAATGGTGATTCCTGGTCTGGGGGGACAAGGAAAGCTCAAGGTAAAATGGAACATCACATTGTGCTGCAAGACCAGAGGTGCTTCAAAACGCAGGGGACTTCAAGAGGACAGCTGAAAGAGACCCACTGGTTAGACAGGACAACCTCATACCAAGGGAAGGGCAGCACATGACAGCACCCTGAGCCCCGACAGCACAGTACAGGGAAGGGGGCTCTTCCGTCCACGGAGTGCAGGAGCAGGACAGGAAAAGCACCCTTTGACAGCCTCCAGTCATTCCAATCCAGCAAGACCGTCAGTGGGCGTGACGATCAGGAGGAGCGGTGAGTGCAGGCAAGGTCTAAGGACCATGATGACAGAAGCCAACAGGGTCCCCAGCAGAGGCCAGGTTGGCACCACACAGCTCCTGACCTGATGTACTGCACCACGTCATCTCTGGGTGGCTCTCGTCAACAGGCTCACCCTGGACCTCATCAGGACAGAACCAGATGGGGCACGCTACAGGACAAGTATGGGCCAGAGCATGCTGGGTGCCAGCCACAGGGAGGCGATGCCAGAGCAGAGATGCAACCAGTGCCAATGTGACTCTCCAGCAGGTCCCAGACATGGTGTGGGGCAAGAGCAACTGCTGGAAGTACAGGAAAACACATGTACCACAGACCCTGGATGATGGCACTGGGTGGGCGCTGAGCTTCTTGGTTGTGGTAACAGCACCATGTCTCTAAGAGTACATTCCAGATTTTAGGAATTACATTAAATTACTAGGAAAACAGGAGATATCCACAACTTGCTTTTGGACAGTGAAAGGTGGATCTGGATATGTAAGATTTTTTAATGGGGAAAGTTATCACACCTGTGAAGTTATGGATACAATGACACATGGAATTTGCTTCACAATAAGCAGGGTAAGGAAAGGCAGGGTACAGATGTGTATCTGAAGCCCACCTAAGTGAGGGCAGGTAAGCAGAGGGCGCTGTGCTATGGTTTACTTGTGTAGAGTCTGAATTTCCTATTGCACGGTCACTTCTAAACCAGGTACGGGATGTTCATCTCGAACTGGTGTTTCTAACCCTTCCAAGACTGAAACCCCACACTAGTGTTAGTACAGTACATATTCCAGAGGAAGAGGTTGCCCACCTGCAGGCGAGCCCTCCAACTGCGTTTCAGGTGCAGCTGACTGACCTGGGCCACCTGCATTCTTCGCAGCTTCCCCTGAATCTGGAGGCACACCATCTGAAAAACTGAAACAATGTGTTTAAAAAGTATCACCATCAAGAAAGTTGCAAAAACAAACCACAGGAATAAGTTTTCCTCCCATTTTTTCCAACACATTAGGCAGTGTTTGCAGCCACAGAACCAGGGAACACGACAGGGAACGCGCTGCATCCCATCACCCCAGGGACTTACCTGTCCTGAAGGAAACGCCCACCACTCAGCACCCTTCTCCCACCCACAGAGTTCCAACCTGCAGCCCTCGCTCGGGCTTATTAGTTGTTGTTTCTACAACAACTGTTGTTTCTTCCCTTAAAAATCTGCTCCCAGCCCTCAAAACCCAACCAACCCTACCAACTTTGTCCTGTCTGGCCTCTGCTCATGCCACCCAGCAGAGCAGCCCTGCCCGTGTGGGACACAGTCCCCACAGTGCTCTGAAAGCCAGCAGACTCTCTAAAACAATGCAGCTCCACAGGAAGAGAGCTAAGGCTCTTCACGGACATGCGTTCCTCAAGGAAGGCAGAAACACACAGCCCAAACCCACCCTGAGCAACCTACAACCTCTCCCCTGACCACTGTCTGAGGCGTTTCTTCACCTGCTCGGATCCATGAGAAGCAAATAAGCCATCAGCTACAGAGTAGTGCATTCACATGTTATTCTAGAACTGAATGACACCCACCCTGGCTCTTGCTCACTGACCTTGCTTTAAATTCTGATGAACATGTCCATTCAGGCTTACCTGTTATCTGCCATCTGAATGCTCTTATTCCTACAAATCAAAGAGAGTCACAATTACACTCACAAACAAAAACATCTGTTCAGTGTGCTCTTCCACACTGTTTATGGGATGGAGATGCACTAAGAGGGCCAGGAGGGACTTTCTAGGAATGAAGTTAATATTTCAGATCTGGCTATGTTATTTGGGTTCACACGTTTGCCAAAACTCATTTAACTGTGTACTTAAGATATGCACTTCAGGGCTGGGGATGGGGCTCAGTGGTACAGCACTTGCCTAGCATGTGCAAAGCCCTGAGTTCAATCTCCAGCACTGCGGGGAAGAAAAAAAAAACGCATTTCAAAAGGTACAGTGGCACATGCCTGTAATCCCAGTGGCTCAGGAGGCTGAGGCAGAAGGATCACAACTTCAGAGTCAGACTCAGCAACTTAGGCTCTAAACAACTCAGCAAGACCTTGTCTCAAAATTAAAAAAAAAACACACAAAAAAACTTTAAAGGGCTAGGGATGTAGCTCAGTGGTTAAGCACCCCTGGTTCAATTCCCAGTACTAGAAAAAAAAATGTGCATTTCATTATATGAAAATTTTACTCATAAAATGTCTCTTACTGGCACTAAAAAGACCAAGCTTCTTGATAAGAACAATTAATCCTAATTTACAACAGGAACGTCTGAGTAAACACACCACGACAATATAATAATGCTAGTCCAGTTATTTCAGACCAATTCAAAGCATTCGCTGGTGTTTACACTAGTTCTCAAATTAATGCACAGCACGATGTTCTAATTTCATCTGCTAGTTCTGCACCTCTGACTTCTACACTGAAGATGCCCTGCTAGGTAACATTATGTACTGCCTAGCCTGCTTGAGGCCCTGGGTTCCATTAACACCACGAGCAAAACAAAAACAACAAAAAACACACTCAGAATCTCACTTTCATAGGATGTTTAATATGATTATCTCTAGATGGAAGAACTGAACAACGTTTTACCCATGAATATTAAAAGATGGGACATAAGACGCTTTCTTAAATAGAAGAACTTGATACTGAAAAAGCTGCAAAGCCCAATTTTCACAAATTCAAGCCAATATATAAATGCATTGCCCGAAAGGGCCCTGAATGTATACTAAACCTGAACAAAGCTCCTCAAGCGTGATGGAGGGGACCCTGCGTGCCTGAACTGCTCCAGCTGAAACCTGGCCCATCTCCTTCCCAGGATGCACAGAAAGCCAAACCACTCACTCACAAGCTTTTGGAAAAGAGAGCAGCAAGAAATTTCTGTACTCATGACAAACAGCTCCAATTAGAATATATGACCTACAACTGTTTTGCATTTAACTCAACTGCACTTTTAAATTAGATTTTCACTGTTTGAAAAAACATATAAAAATACTATAGATTATATTGTTTTTTAAAAAATTATTTATTAAGGTAAATTATTAAGAAAAAAAATGCAACAAACCCTAGGGAGGCTGGTCACACCACACCATCACCACAGCAGTAGCCAGGTCTAGCCCCACCTCAATGTGACCCTTTATTGGCCCCCTGGCCTTCTGCAGAGCTCCAGTTCATTCCACATGGGATCCCAACTCTTACCTCTAGGCAGGCCAACCTCACCCTTCTATTCTCAGTGCATGCTCCTCTGCTGGACCTGCTGCAATCACAAGATTCCCAAGGTGACAGTTCACCTTTTCTCACATTATACATGCAAGGAGTGACACAGACCAACCTTCATAATTGCGTTTGATGCCAAACATCTGAGTGAACACACCATTTGCCAGTTATTACACACTGAGGTGAAGTTTTTCTATGAGATTTTACACACACACACACAGCTATACTGGAGATGGAACCTAGGCCTCACACATGCTAGGCGAGCGCTCTACCACTGAGCACAACCCCAGCCCCATGACATACTTTTGGTAATGGTCCCTGTGAGCATCTTTGTGTAATAGACTCTCCACCACAGTTATTCTTAATTTATACGGCAATAACAGGATTGCTGTGGTAGTCTTTATGGGTCAGAGTATGAAGGGATCCTGACCCTGCCAAGCTGCCTACACACTGACACCACTTACACACTGGCCACCGTGCCTAATATGCACCCAACGGCCCCCTCCCTCAATTACACTAACTGCCAAAGGGAGCCTGCTGTCCTGGAAGCACCGACCACTGCCAGTCTAATGAACAGATGCCTCTTCGCCAACCCAGCAATGCTGTCCAGTAAGGCCACACCTTCCATTTCCAACAGGCATGGACCAGCGAAGGGCTGCCGTTCCAGGCACTTCAAGCGTTCTACACTCACATCAGCTCTACCAAGGAGGGACTCCCTCAGTTTAAGTGAGGAAGCTGAGGCTGGAAAAGACAAAAGGCCTAGCCCAAGGTCATAGGCTGGCACGATATGGATCTAGGACTCCAAACTAGATCCTTCCATCCCTCCCCACGAATGCTAAACAATTCCCCTGGGCTACAATTGGCTAATCTAACCAACTCACATTTGAGCTTCCATCTGCTCAATTAAAAGCTCTACCACAATCAGGGTCAGTCAGATTCCTGCTGTTCTGCTAAGATCTTCCCAAGAAGTTCACTGTGTCTAGAAAGGTGAGAACATTCCTTTTCTCCCTGTTCACCAGCTAGTACCAGGACGCCTGCCCAAGAGGTACACAGGATACACAGACACGGGAAGGCCCCCCTCCAGCCTGGCAGACTCCACCAACTCGCACCTTTACCACTGTACTTGGCAACATCATGAAAAGGCTTGCAAAGCCTGACACGCTTCCCTCAACAGCAACAAAGCGCCACATCAAGGACAGAAAAACAGGCCAATGCACTTAAAGGATGGAAAAGAAAATAATTCTGAATGACTAAAAACCAACAAACTGACCCAGAACTCGAGGCCTAGGACAAAGCAGACCCAAGGAACGAGCAGTGTGGCTCTGTGTCCCCTCCCTCCCTCCCCACTCCCCAGCTGCAGCCTTCCTCTACACTCAGCTGCAGCACTCACGGCAAGAGGCCGCACCCCTGGGCCCTGGGCCCTGGGCCTCTGCATTTATGCCCCCAACACACATGGACTGTTTCACCCGCTGTCTGCTGTGGGACCACCAAATCAAATGACTAAACACTGCTCCCTTGACACAGGAGGACAATGACATTTATAAAGAAGTTGGACTTCACTTAGGTTTCATCACCAAGAATTATTTTGTTACAAAGATCTATCAAATTTGGAGGTTCGAGGGAAAACAAAAGACCCATTTGCTTTAATGTTGGAATGCCAAGTTTAATGTTGGTTTCAAGAAGTCACAGTGCCAAGCCCTATCAGGGAGGAGGCCCCCCATCTTTAAAAGGCACCAGAAGACTACCCACAGTGGGGGACTGTGTCATGAACGTAGTGGTGCGTATGTCCACAGGCCTATGTGGAGTCGAGCCACTCAGAACACGGCGGGCGCTGAGGCAATGCTCATGCGCATTAGCAGAATTTAGCCATTCCACGTTCGGTACCAATTTCAAAACATATTTGTTTGCCAATCAAAAAGAAATAAAGCAATCAAGTTAGACTGCGGAAGGGACAGCAGGCAGAACAGATTTTCAAAAGAATGCGGCTGTTCCCTCCAGGGCCAACAGTCTGCTTTTACTGATCAAGACACCACAGTGATCCTTTTTTATGTGTGTATGTGGCAGTGCTGGGGACTGCACTCTACCACTCAGCAGCACCCCCTCCTGCAACACTACTACTTATGAATTAATTTCCTTTTAACTCAAATTAAAAATAAAGTTTTCACAGGAAAACATTTGAACTTTTACAGAAAACTATACAAGATTGAACTACTAATTTTTACCTGAAAACAGTCGATAGCCAAAATAACAATGAAACCACACATTGGGTTCCTTTGAAAGACAAAGGCATGAGCCTTAGAGTGTGGTCACACTTCACAAAACCTCAGTCTGAACAGTTTCTACCTATCACCAAAGAGATTAAAAGGTTCCCAGTGCCTGCCCGCTAGATAACTAACTGATCAATCAGCAATAGTGGTTAAATAAACCCTAGAGCATGAAGAGGCGCAGGTGAAGCTGAGGGTGGCAGGCCACCTACTGATCCTGGAGAGTGTGACCAGCCTTGGTTCAGGTCCAACTCTCCAAGAGCACTGGCTCACATTGTAGCTTAGGACTATGTTGGGGGACAGAGGAACCATCATGCCAAGAAAGAATCAGGACCCCCCACAGGACATCCCAACACCTACCTACAAGCCTGGTCAGTGCGTGAGCCCCAGCAGTCCAGATCTCATTTCACTGCCTCGGTCCACAGCTCCTTTCCCAAGCCATCACCTTTCCCTAACATCTTAAGTTAACCAGGTTGTTAGTTAAATGTCAGCAGACAAGTTAACAAGTAATTAAACAGCCAGGTAATCTGTGTAAATTTCCAAACTATGGGAGAATGCAAACCAATATGCCCTTCATTAACAAAATGGGGGAGGGAGAGCCAGATCCTAATGCACACAGGTGCTCTTGAAATTATGCTGAAACTAAATCCAACTGCATTTAATTATCTAATTTATACATACCTCCTTTATCTTCTGACACATATATGTGGTAGTGAATAATAAGATAATTTTTTTTTTCAATTTACAGATACAGCTGAGCAAGGTGGCACATTCCTGTAATCTCAGCTACTCAGGAGCATCACAAGTTCCAGATCATCTGGGCAACTAAGAAGTCTGTCCCAGAATAAAAAACAATAATGCTGGGGGTGTAACTGGTGGTAGAGCACTTGTCTAGCATTATGGTGCCCTGGGTTCAATCCCCAGGACTTCAAAGTCAACCAACCAACCAGACACATGTTACAAGTGAACCAAGACTGGCAAGCAGGGTATTTCTGAAGCTAAGTGATGAGTATAGGATCACTATTGTTTTTGAAAAGGATGAAACTTTTTATTATAGTGCTTAGAAATAATGACTAAGCAGTACATTTGTCATCCCATCAAAGAACACATTCCATGAAGGCAGAGACACTATCCTGCTCAATGCAGCAGTTCCAGGGCCCAGCACAGGATCTGGCATGAGAGATGGCCAGGAAATTGCTGTCTAATAAATCCACTGCTGTTGAGTGACAGCTGCCTATTACCAGCATACAGCATGGCACCAGAGACCCCATGCACACTTCAGCCTGTCCCAAGCACCTTTCTCAGGACACAGAACAGACATTCCCCTGGTCATACCTGCTTACAAGATCTACTGAAATAACCATCCGAACACTCCACTTTTACTGAGGCAGTGGTCTTCCGTGCTACGCTCCTTTTTCTGTGTTTCTTGGCAATTCATGAGAATCTGATGTTCGAAAGTTTTCTCAATCCAATACTTAAAAGATCTTGGCATCCTCGTCAGTAAGCCATTTCCTCTCTATCCTATTTCAAATTACAGCCACCCAAGACTCCACTCTTATCTTTTTCTCAAAAGCACCTCCAACCATGTAACTTGCTTGTCTGTCTCCCACTGCAGACATGAGAGTAGGGTCTTAGACCCTGTGTTATTCAGTGGAGGCCCCAATACCTAGAACTGTGCTTGGTACTCATGAGAAAACAAATACATAAGAAGATATAGCCAGGCGCAGTGGAGCACACCTGTAATCCCAGAGGCTTGGGAGGCTGAAACAGGAGGATCCAGAGTTCAAAGCCAGCCCCAGCAACTGCAAGGTGCTAAGCAACTCAATGAGACCCCGTCTCTAAACAGAAACTATCTCACCTTGTTTTTGAATAGGCTTTTCTTTTCCCTCTGGACATGGGAGGAAAGCACATTTTAAGAGGTGGCAGAGAACATTTTACACAGATTAAGAATTTAAGGCTACATTGAGCAGTCAAGATGAAGAGTAAAATTCACAGTGATTTTTTTGTAGTTACAATAGTACAAAGCTGTAATGTCCCTCCTTTTACTAAACACTCACAAAATTTAAAATTTAACTACAGACAGAGCAAAAGCAACAGGACTTTCCCTGAAGCAGGCAGGGTAGAAAACAACTGTCAGATGAGAACAAATCTATGCCATCACAAACTTTTTCTTAAAAACATCCTAACAGGTCTGGGGTTAGTGGGAGAGCGCTTGCCTAGTGTGTGAGGCACTGGGTTTGAGCCTCAGCAACACATAAACAAAAACTTCTCCACTAGCTACCCATCAATAAGGGTCTCCCACTTATTACATATGTCCCCCAAAGACAAACCCCATGACTCGTTCAGGGAGGCTCCCAATTTGCTAACAATCATAAGGCCATGAGGCCCATGCAAAGTAAGCAGAGACCGGAAGAGAGCAGTTTCCTGCCATTCCACATCAGCTACTTCCTATCACTGCAGTAGTACAAGAGTCGAACTAAGATGGGCCTTCTATTCTGGGTGCCTAAAACACACTTTGTCTTAAACAAAAAGCAAGGATTCCTTGGCTAGCAAACTCTCAGCAAGCTCAAGGTCCTAACTGGAATGACTGGATCCCAGCAACACCCAATCTTCCCACTTCACACAGCTGATGATCCAAGGCCATAGGGAGTATAGTCCTGAGGACCGAATGAGGGGCACTTTACCACTGAGATACACCTCCAGCCTTTGGTTTTGTTTGAAGACAGGGTCTCACTAAATTGCCCAGACCAGTCTCAAACTTGTGATCCTGCTGCCTCAGCTTCCAGAGTCGCTGGGACTACAGGCCTGCTGCATGTGCCACCAAGCCTGCTGGCCTTGGGATTCTTTGGCAAAATTTTTGGAAGCACAACATAAATTTATCAAAACAGGCTTTAAATTGCAAACAACCAAAAAAAAAAAAACAAGCCCCTCTGAACTCCACTGTGCTTACACATTCATATTTGAGATTACCTCCTCCTAATGCTAGACCATCAACTGCTCAAAAGAAGATATAAGATTTCAATCCTAGGCTACTAAAAATAAAAACCCTGATAAGCTAATGGATTTCCCCCCCTTGGAGAAAAGGGTCTCGCTATGTTGCCCAGGCAGATCTCAAACTTGTGGGCTCAAGCTATCCTCCCACCTCAGCCTCCTGAGTAGCTGAGGACACAGGCATGCACCATCATGTCCAGCTTAGTGGAAATAAATTTTAAGATTCACCTACAAACTCAGACTGTAAAGTGACAAACAATCCCATCTCAAAGAACTTAAGTCTCTATAGAAGTATGAAATGCTTCACACAGGTAAACTCCTCTAGCTCACTGTCTAACTGGCCAAGTCACAAAGCCATGATGTCTTGTAAGGTGGGAGGGAAACATCTCAGAACCCACATATTCTTAACCAACAAGTCAACCTGCACAAGTATGGAATGGAAGAGTGTCACTGGAGATGGGGAAGAACAAGAGGAAGTGGGACAGAAGAGGGACTTTTAGGGAGTGGGAAGGGCGCTGGGGGTGGGAGAGAGTAGATCAGTGGTTGTGCAGAATGAATGCACAATGGATGTATAGAATATCACAGGGAATACACCAATCTGTACAACGTGCAGTGACTGTAACAAAATAAGTAAAACGTATGCATTCTTTCTTAGAATTCAGTTGACCAAGTTTATCAAACCTGAAAATGATAAAACTGGCTACTGTTAAGAATTTGGCCAATTGCTCCAATTACTATTCCACATTCTTTCTGAAAAAAAAACAGGATTCTAATACAACAAAATGAAAACAACTGGTTTTTAGATGCAACGATATATGGACACAGACAACAGCCGACATTCTGAACCAACGATACTGCTCAGACTGGGGAAAAACCAGACTGCCTAATAAGTTATCTGAGACAGCAGTAAAGTGTGCACAAAATCACACGGTGAGTGGAGGCCTTGAAATTCAGGCGAAAGTGTCCCTGTGGAAATTTGGGAAGGTTATAATTCCTACACTTACCTAATCTATAAATTGATCTCTCTCATAAACAATTAGGTTTACAACAGCTTTACAGACCAAAAATCTGCAGTCTTGGTTCCCCCGCCTCCCCAGCACTACGTCGGATTCTGGACTTCCAGATTAGGGAAGCTCTTCCGGCAAATCCGTGCAAATACTCCCAAATCGGAAAAACTCCAAGACCCGCAGCAACACCTCTGGCCCCAGCGTTTCGGGTAGGGGCACTCGCCAACCGTGACGCGGCGGGTTCACCGGGCCAGGCG